ATTTGTCAGATGGTGACAAGTGCATGGAGAAAATTGGCGCAAGGAAGGGGGAGTGACAGTGAGAACTGTAATTTCAGATGGTAGCACTAGGGAAGGGCTCATCCAGAGGGTGAAATTTAAGAGGTGAGGGAGCAAGTTACAGGGACTTGGGGGAAGAGCAGCCTCGGCAGGCAGAGTGACTCAACCAGCAGGAAGGCCTCCGGGGGCAGCAAGCCTGGCTTGTCAAAGAAACGGAGGCTGCAAGGGAACAGGGCTGGAGTGGAAGTGAGCAGCCAGGAGTAGGGGAGCCAGATGGAGTGGCACCTTCTAGGGCATTATAAGGACAGTGTAAGGGCTCACTCATTTCTCAGTGAGATGAGAAGCCATTGAAGGACACACCCCTCCCCCAGCTTTTTAATTTTGTTTTGCAGTTGGCACTTCAAATTTTTATATAATTTCAAACTTTCTGAAAAGTTACAAGAAGTTGCAAGGAACTCCTTGAATATCCCTTTCCCAGGTCTATCAATTGCTTCCATTTGTTCCATATGTTTTATTGCTTCTCTCCAAATATACTATAAATATGAAATATTTGTTTCCTGAACCATTTAGGTGTGAAAGGTAAATAACTCCATTGCCTGGAGTTATTCCCTAAGACCAAGGACATCCAGGACACTGTGTAGTTATCGCTAGCAGAATATTAAATTTAATAAAATACCATTTAGTCCCCATTCATATTCAAATTTCCTCAAATGTTGCAGTCTTTTTAGTTCCTTTCCCTAACCAAGGACCACATATTGCATTTAATTATGTCTCTTCAGTCTCATTTTTAAAATTGACTTGTCCGTTGTTTACATATGTCTATATAATATTGAGGGCACATTTTCACACTTTCACTTGTGCATATTTCACTCACCTTCCACCAGTACACCTGTGCCATATTCAGTCTTATTTAATCTGGAAGCATCTTGGACATTGTCTCCAGTTTTGAAGAGTTCAAGAATGTTATTTTATAGCATAATCTTCAACTTGGTTTGTCAGCTTTTTTGCCATGGTTAGTTTCCTTACTTCTTCATTTGGGAACATCACCACACACAGAAGTGATGTGTCCTTCCTAGAGCATGGCATCCAAAGACACATGTCAGTTTGTCCAGACACTGAGATAATGACTCTGATCATGATGTGTAAATGGTGTTTGCCAGTGTAAAGCTATTAATATATCAATAGTAATTAAGACAATTTGTGGGAAGATACTTTAAGATTCTTTACTACTTATACAGTACCAAAAGCTCACCATTAGTTTGGGGGGGGGGGGTTGGATGAAGGGGAGAGGGACAGTAACTTCATTGTAACAGAAAAACCAGGATGTAGTGAGTCTACATGATTAAAACAAAGGGTGGTTATCTTTACAAATGGTGGTGCCTAAACCCAGCTAGGAGCACACAGGTTAACCCCAAAGCCCAGTATCTCCTCTTTCCTTCACCCACCCACCAGTGTAGTTTCCACTGGTGATTTCCAACTCCAGCACTGCCTCTGTATTTATTAACTGGCATTTTACTGTAAAAAGAGCTTTTTATTTGCCCCCCATTTATTTACCCACAATGATATGAACTTTGGATTCTTGTTTCAATGAATGCAGCAAATCATCTATTTACCACTCAAATTGCCCCAGATTTAGCCAATGGAAGCCTCTTTGGCTGCACTTTTAGCTAATGTATCTTTTTGAAAGATACCTAATATCTTATGAACACCTCTTTATTTTCTGGTGCAACAAAATATTCCAAAATCACTTTGTAATTTCCCAGTGCCGACTGACCCTGAAATCAACCATTTCTTCAAGGAAGCTTGATTCATTTTAGTACAGAATGATTTTTTAAAATATTTATTTATGCATACAAGAGCTGGGATACAGGCCAGAGGTGCAGGAGGTGAGAGGATTCACCAAAGACAGAATGGGGAGCAGAACAGGCAGATCTACTGATATACACTGCTGAGGAGAGCAGCAGGTGAGATATGAAAGGTCTGCTGTGCCATATGGGTTAGTTAGCTCCCTGGCTGGCCAGGGGACACTGAATCCTGCCTTTGGGAATGAAACTCAAGACAAGGTAGTAAGAGATGAGACTTCACCCTGTGCCACCAGGGGGGCCCCAATATATATTTTTAAAAGATGAATTTAAAGAGGAACAACAGAAATTGATATTGTTTTAGAAGGACCACCTAATGTATCACTCTGTCCAGTATGTTAAGAATAGATTACAAGACAGCCTCCCTGGTAGTCTAGGAGTTAAGTCTCAGTGCTGTCACTTCTAAAGTCTAAGTTTGATCCCTAGCCAGGGAGCTGACCCACAATGGTACAGCAGACTTCTTCTGTCTCACTTGCTCTTCCCCTCAGCAGTGTATTTTAGTTGATCTGCCTGCTCTGCTCCCCACTCTGTCTCTGGTGAATACTCTTATCTCCTGCACCCCCAGTTTTTGTATGAGAGAGAGAGAGAGACTACAACCGGGGAGTAGTGGTAAAGTAGTGTAATGACAGTCAAAATTTTTACATTTTTAAAATAAGAAGTGGTAACTGGAATTTGAGAGAGACAAGCAGCGTGGATGATTCTAAGGTTTTTAATCAACTTAGTTGAGGAAACAGAATTTCCATTTGCTAACATGGAAAGATTACAGGTAAAGCAGGTTTAGGGGAGATGACCAGGAGTTTGGTTTGGACATTTAGTTTGCGATTCCCTAGACACCCAAATGGAAATTATAAATAGGTAGTAGGGTATATGCATGTGTAATTCGGGAAGAACTCTGAAGATCAAGATGAAAAGTTGGTATGCATTAACATTATTAGTTTATATTTAAAGACATGAGACTGGACATCACCAGTGACATGGATACAGAGAGAAACGAGAAAAGGTTGGAAAACTGAGTTTAGGGAACACTTTAACATTTAGAAATCCAGAAGACAATAAACTAGCAAGAGTTTGTAAAAGAGCAGTTTATGATGTAGAAGGGATATCAGAAGTGTGTGGTGTCCTAGAAGGCAAGCGAGGAGAGTGTTCTGAGAGGGGGGTAATGAGTATTTGTGTCAACTGCTGCTAAACAGTTTTCAATGGGGCCCTCCCTGGAGGCTCAACGGGTCAAGGCTGAGCACATTGAGGCTCTCCGCAGTCGCCTCACTACCAGTTCCAGTTCTATCCCCAGCCAGGGGAATGGCCTACATGGTGTGGCAGACCTCACCTGACCCACCCGCTGCTCCCCTCAACAGTGAACTTCATCGTGTTCTGTTGAGCAGTGTTCTGCTCCCCGCTCTGACTTCTGGTTAATCCTCTCACCATCCCTGCACTCTGGCCTGTACCCCAGTTCTTCATGCATAAATAAATCAATCTTTAAAAAAAAGTTATCAATGGATTTAGTAATGTGATGGCACCTGACTAGAGAGTGTTCCAAGGAGAAGATAGAGTTGGAGGCAGATTCATCTACAGAGGTGATCACACTGTGGTCACATTCAGATAGGTAGATGCGATAATGTGTGTTGGTAGGAAAAATGTCTTCGGAATACCTTACCTTCTCAGTGAAACACTGAGCAAAATAATACAGTCGCCAAACAGCACTGAGGAGTTACCGGAAGTTTGGAGGAGCTATGAATTCAAAATCTACAGTGAACATTATTTTGCAAGACACAGCCTGTGTAGGAGGAAGCCACAAGGGGGCGTTCGCGGTGTGGCCCTGGGTGGCTCAGTTTTGAGGGCCTCAGAATAAATGCACGGTTTCTTACCGAGTGAAGAGCAAACACTAGAAAAACAATTGTCTTCCTTTACGGAATATTGTCTTCCTTTACGGAATATTGTAATACTCATTCCCAAAAGCAACGACGCTGTGAGCAGGATTCGAACCTGCGCGGGGAGACCCCATTGGATTTCGAGTCCAACGCCTTAACCACTCGGCCATCACAGCCGCGTGCGGTCTCGGCCCCACGTAACTATAGCTGCCTATCAACAGGCCTGTTTTTTCCACCACTCAGCGTCGCGTCGCGTCGCGACGTCTTTGCGCGTGCGCCCTCCACTTGGCGGCGCCTAGCCATCACCAGCCAGCCGCGGTAACTTTTCCCGTCTGTTTCCCTGGAGCCACAGCACGACTCCAGGGTCCCAAAAGCTTTGAAAGCAGACATAATGATGTCCACATAACCCTGACTCACTAAGGGGAAACGGGAAACTGGCTCCAAATGCACTAAAAGTGCACGTTACTGGAAGTTCAAACTGGAACCCGGTCCGAAAGCAGGGGGTGGGCGGCGATGAAATGTATTCTTCTCGCAGCAATAAATACGCGCTTCCTACGCTGCAGGCACCGCTGGGATTCGAACCCAGGATCTCCTGTTTACTAGACAGGCGCTTTAACCAGCTAAGCCACGGCGCCGGCAGCAAGCCAATGTGTCTATAGATAGATCACCGTCAGTGAAAGCCAGGAAGTAATAAAAAATGATCCCATGCATGTTCAATTTTTTTTCAACGTTTCTCGCGCTCCTCACGGGTTGTGAGCCTCAACGTTGACACTCAGCATCTCCCTGTCCCACACCTTGGAGGGTCAACTCGACCATGAGTGGAAGCACGATTCCCTGTCCCTTAGCCACTTAGACTGACTACTGAAGGACCCACCCCTTCATGGTGACCAAAAAGCTAAATACCCTCAAATGCTTCAGAGCACCACCGGGTTAGGTGGGATCTCCTCCCCTCTCTTTTTGGCGCTCGTGACCCTGTTGGAACTTGCTTGTCCTTTGACAAATGCCCTTTGAATGGGTGTCCCTTTTCCAAGCACACTAGCTGAGGTAAGGTTAGAGGGTTTGAGCCTGGTGAAAATCAAGCAGGCTCAGCAAGGCCCCTCAGCTGGAAACGGTGCTGGAGAGAACCGGCTTTGTCAAGGGAGGAAACTGACCACTCTCATTGCTATCTTTCTGGAAGTGGGGCCACACCTCCCCACAAAGAACTCCCCCCTTCAAACAACCCCAACCTCTAAACTCCATTCCACAGAAATCGGTTTGTTTGTTTTTTGTATTAAAAAAAAAATAACAACAGACACAATATCAAAAACACAAATGCCATCGGTAGAGGGTACAGCTGAGAACACCTGGGTCCCACCTGAGGGGCAGCACCAGGGACTCCATGGTCCACCAACGTCCCCCACCCTGGAGCAGCTAGGGGTTCGGACTGCTGGGTCCTGCTTGGGCTTCAGACCCTTCTCCCATCTGAAGGGAGAGAGAGCTGTTTCCCCCAATAAATAAGTGTAGTCCCAACCCTCCTACCCAGACTTGGGCTCAGCTGGGATTTGGAAAGACCACTTCAGCAGCTTGTCTGCAACTTTGTCCAAGAGAAAGGACTTCACCAGGGGTGGGAGGTGAGGCTGCTCTGAGTTGAACTGAAGAGTTCTACCCCTCTGCTCCCTAAAAGACCAGAGGCAGCCCCTTGATCCCCAGCTGATGATGGGGGTCCGGCCCCCGACTGGGATAAGCTGGGGCAGTTTTCTATTGGTTGGTCCAGCCACATCTGAATCTGAGAGTTGGGACATGGAAGAAGGAAGCTTCTCATGCACTCCCAGACGTGGCCCCCAAATGTAGTTTAGCTGGTGCTTGTTTTGGCGGCAGATAAGGCTGGACTGGATGAGCTCCCACCTTGTTCTTCCTCTTCCATGGCCAGGTCCTGAGAACTTGAAACCATGATCCCAGCTTGGGCCTGGGATTCATCTCCACCCTCACCCTCACCACCAGTACAACCACCCTCGCCTCCACCCTCCTCCATGGGCTCCAGCTCCAGTCCATCCAGCTCCGAGAAGAGTGGGTCATCAGGGTGGCCAGGATCTTGGGTGCTACTACCACAGTCTACACAGGCCTAGGAAGGAGAAAGGGCGTGAATGAGATAGGCATGGTTCTCACTGGTGACCTGCCACCTCACCTCCATGTCCTCTAGCCCCAAAGTACATCCCAAAATGTACCCTCCACAGCCTATGGGGCAAACAAGTTTAGAAACCACACTGTACCCTGTATTTGAACCCCACGATGGATCACAATGTACATGATCATAGGATAGACACATCTCTATAAGAACTCACAAGGTTTAATGTTACATGACCCAACTGCTAATTAATGATCCAAGGATACTGAAGTTCCACCCTTAGCTTCTATTCCTTCAACTTGCACTCATTCTTTCTTCTCCCTGCTGGCCCAGACTTTCTCTTACCATGACATCAAGGGCCCGAGGTAGCTGGCCTTTCCGAACCCAAGAGTGCACAGCACCCAGTTCCCTCCGTTGGTCCTCTGAGAACCGAGGCTGCTGTTTCTGCATGGCTCGGAGTCGCTCTCGGTCCTGTTTCAGCACAGAGGCCATGTCCCTGCCCGGGAATGGGGTTCAGAAGGCATAGTATGGAACTGAAGCCAGGGGCCACCAGGCTGGCATTCTTTCTCTACCATAATTCCCCAGCCACTGACTCATGCTCCTCCCCTGAGTTCGTGCTCTGGAAGTTCAGGGCTTCCCACGCCAGGAAAGTTGCCCTCTGAAGAAAACTGATCATTGAGCACCAAGAGGCAAGAGATAGGATAGGAAGCCCAGGCCACACTCAACCCCAGGAAAGAAAGCCCCAAATTAGCTGGACAGTTAGAGTGGCCTACCCTCCCAACCTGCTGAAAGGGAGGAGGAAACCACTAAAACTCCTCACCTGGAGGGCACCTGGTAGGTCATCATGACACGCTGGTCAGCATTGGCCATGAGCAGCCAGATGGGGTCCTGGAGCACATACTTAATGACCTGATCCCCAGGCTCAGCCCTGGCCTGGGCAGCCCCAGCCTCAGCCTCAGAAGAGTCAATGCTGCCAAAGTACTTGCTTGTGTGGCTGCTCTGACTGCTGCCTGTGAGGTGGGGGAATCACCAGGAGTCAGGGCAGCTGTCACTCTCACCCCCCCGCCTCCGGGGCCTCACAAGGTCTCCCTCAGTCCAGTGGCCTTAGGAAGCATAGGTCCAGGCTGCTCAGCTGAGGAGAGACTGGCCTCTCATCACCCCCCATATCTTTTTCTACACTTACGTGTGATGCTGGCTGAGGTGCTGCCACCCTCATTGGAGCCTGAACCAGTCCCAGAGCCCAAGCCAGAGCCCAAGGAGCCTGAGGCAGCAGAGCCTGTGCCAGAGCGAGAGTCCTCCTGCAGCAGCAACTCCAGCAGGTCACTGGAGCCCGAAAGTGCATCCTGATTGGAGGATTCATTTACCTCTGCCTGGAGGGGGAGGCAGGACAGGGAGAGATGAAGAGATCAACACCTAGGCTTCCTTTCAACTACTTCCACTGGTGGGGGGAGGAAGCACACCCAACCCAAGTGGTCTCTGGACCCAGTTCATGACAGATGGTCTAGGATGGGAGAGGAGATGAAGAGTAAGGACGTGATGCTGGACCCTTTCCAAGTGGCAGATGTGTGCTCAGAAGTTATTGGGATGTCCTCGCCGCCTGTCAGACAGGCAGGACTGTTCCCACTTTAGAGTTGCGGCAGCCCATTAAGGCTGCATTCAGAAATTCAGTTGGGGTCTCCCACCCCACACCACCATCTACAGGAGATAGAGACACTGGACAGGCAAGAGTGAAGTGAAAGAGCAAGGTGAGGGGAGCAGGGGCCGACAGGATGGCGGGTAGGAGGGGGGGTGGTTCGCGCTCACCAGTCTGGCCTCCGGTTCAGCAGCCTCCTCACTGGGAGGCGGTGGCCCAGAACTGCTCCCAGGGCCCCCTGCAACATTACCCCCTTCAGCTCGGGGGGGCTCCTCAAGCTGCAGCAGATTAAGTTGGAGTGGGGAGCTACATCTTGAGTTGAATGGTGGAGAGTCTGGGCAGTGGGGAGGGCTGGGGGGCAGTGGGGGCAGGGATGGAGAAGGGGAGTGGGAGGCAGGGGTTGGAGGTCCCTCTGCGGAGGTCTGGGCTACTCCATAGGGATAGCTAGATGGGGTTGGGAATAGATAGTTAGGGAGCACCAAAGCCACCATTGGGGTCACCAAGGGGGCAGGGAAAGCTGTAGGGGGCACTGATGTGGGGGCAGGGGGAAGAGGCTGGGGACTTCCTCGAGAGGAGAACACTGGGAGTGGGTAGGGCTGGACCACAGCTGGAAAGGGAGTAGTGGCCGGTGGAGGCGGCCAGGGGGCAGAAGGTGGCGCAGGGGAGGGGTGGGAGACATAGCATGGCGCTTCATTCCGAAGGGTCTGGTGGTGGCGTGAGCGCTTGACTTTGGATCGGCAGTGGTGTCGGCGGCCAAGGGGTGCAGGGCCATGGTGGCAGCCTGTGGGGAAGAGATCAGGGTTACTGAGGGCATCTACCTAGGGATCAGTGCTCCTGCCGCTCTCATTGCCCTGAAACTCTAACCAGAGAGAAGGCGGGCAAAGGCCTAGGGAAAGTCTGGTTTCCTGGTCCACACAGCAGAGGGGACTATTCTATGGGAGGTGGGGATATCTTCAGGGAAGAATCACCAGAGAAGGGAAAGGGGGATTTATTGAGCCAGGGAAAAGAAAGGTTACATGTAGGGTCGAGCTGGGGGTGTGCAGAAGACAGGCACGCTCGCCAGTGGGCCCATGGATGAATGGGTAGGCAGCTCTGGTTCATCTGCCAAAGTCCCGCAGACACCGCCAGCGGGGAGCTACTCCTGCCAATCAAGACCACGCTCTGCCGAGCTTACAATGGAGTGAAGAGGTGGGCAGGAAAAGCCCAGTCCTGAATCCTGTGTATGTCCACCTGCAGGGGACCTCCCTCAGGTACCTGGAGAGCTACCCTCTGCCACTGAGCCCCCACCCCACCCGGAATTGACCCAGCCCTCCTTCCCGTGTTTGGGTCTTTGTAGATTTCTTGATCAGTTGAGTCCTAATCAGACATATTTCCTTGCCCCTGGCCTTAGGGTGGGCCTGAATCAGCTTACCTGAAGCAGTACACCTGCCTGTCTCAGTGACAGCCCCCCAAGGCCACCCTCCTCTGGTTGAACCTAGGAATCTGAGCCTAATAGGGAGAGGTTAGCCGGGGCCCTGCTTAGGCCCCGCCTGGTGGAAGAGACAAACCTGTCTGAGTCCCTGGAGCAGAACTCCCTTTCTCCCTGTCAGTCTGCCCCTACACCAGACAAGAGGATAGGGCTCAGAAGACCGGGGTGGCTACCTCTCTCACCAGGGGCCGAGGGGGCCGTGGAGGAGCCATCGAGTCCACGCAGCCTGCCAAGATCACGGAAGCGGCTGAGGAAGGCCTGTTCCTCCTTCTGTGTGTGCAGGGACAGCACTGCCTTGGTCAGGCCCACTGGGCGGTAGGCATCTGGGGCTGGATCAGGGGCTACCATAGGGCTGGGGGCTGGGCTGGGGGCTGGGCCCTGAGTCAGGCCAGGCAAGTCCTCCAGCATGATGATATCTAAGAAAGGTGAGAATGGGAAAGGTCATGGGAATCACCTCAGGGTTTAACACTTCACACCCTCCCCATCCAACAGCTTAGCCAACCCCTCTGACCCACAGCCAAACCTGGGGCCCTTGGTCACCTTCCAGAGAAGGATTGGCCCTGGACCTCTTCTCCATGCAAAGTCGTCCCAGGATGAGAGAGTAAACCCCACCCCCTCCAAGGGCACCTCCCTAGGACATTCTTCATGACTCTATTGGAAGGAAAGCCCACCCCTGCCTTCCCTGCACACTTTTTGGATCACTGCCCAGGCTTCAAAAGCTGTTGGCTTCACATGCCTTGGCCAGCACTTCAGGGTTGAACCCCTTACCACCACCCGAGACTTTGTGCATGAACTGACAGAACACAGGAAGCAAGATTGGGGAAAGGCAAAGCAGCAAGGAATGGAATAGTTCCAGCTAGAAGGGCGGCCTTCTCTCCACTGGGGTGGGAAGGAAAGGAAAAAGGCAGGTGGAGGGAGCTCTGGCTGGGGGACCAAATAGAGCCCAGGCATTGTCCCCTCACTCCACGCCCATACCCGACTCCGGGGGCTTCTTGTCTCCTACATGGACGATGGTAGAGCTGAAGCTACACTGACTGGTGACGGACACCACGCTCTCCGCCTTATTGGCCAGGGCAAGAGGGCTCAGGGTGCCTCCCACCACGGGCTCCTTCTGAGGGGTGGCCCCCTCCCCAGACAGCACTGCCGATGGATCTGTGTGGAGAGATGGCTCTGAGTTACCACTCTTGCCCTTAGCAGGAAGTTAGGAGAAGAAATCTCAGGTAAGAGGGAAGGGGAAAGAAAGCAAGGAGGAGTCGAGGTCTGGAGGCTGGGAGAGAGTAGGGCAGAGCAAGACAGGGTCCCAAAGGCAGAAGTGCAGAGACACGAGGCCACAGTGACAGCAGGATGTGCACTAGGTCTTTACCTTTCTTGGCGCCCACAGGGACTGGATCTGTCCTCTGCTTGTCATCATCAGAGGCTGAGGAGGCAGTGCAGGAGGAGGAGGAGGCACATTTACGCTTGGTAGTGCTGGGAATGTTGCAGCTCTCCAGGTACCTGGCAATGCACCAGGGCACATGAGGGAAGGGACTGCAGTGGGTGAGGATCAGGGTCCAAAGGGAGAAGGTGTCAAGTAGGCCCTACCTGAGGATGCTGTCCAAGCAGTTGATCTGCTGGTAGGAGCAGCTAGAGGCTTCTTTCCTGTCAGTGTCCTCAGGGGCTAAGGCTAGTGGGGCCTGAATTGAAGCAGAAGCCACCTCGAGCTCTGGGTCTGAGGGCTGACAGGGAAGGGTCTTGGCCTTGAATGTACCTGTAGCTGGATGCCAAGGACAGAAAAGTTCCTGTGTGTTGGGGGTGAAGTCAGTGGACTTCTGAGTCTCGTTCTGTGTCCACATCAACTCACCAGGGAGGCGGGACTGGGACAGAGGCCTGGCCCTGGATTCAATAAAGACCTGCTGTCCCTGATGCTTCACCAAATGGACATCCTTGCAGATCTGCTGGAAGGTCACCTATGGGATAGAGCAGGACAGCAATGGGGGGCCTGACCAGCATCAGGGTACAGTGTAATAAGAAGGTACTGGTGGGCCAGGCCCTTCCTGGTGGTACAAAGGGTTAAAGCACAGCACTATGAAGCTATCACAGCCACTGCAGCTCGAGTTCAATCCCTAGCCAGGTGACCCACATGGTGGTGACCCACATGGCTGGCAGACTTCTCCTGACACACCTGCTACTCCCCTCAGCAGTGTACTTTATCAATCTGCCTGTTCTCCTGTTCTGCTTCCCACTGTCTCTAGTAAATCCTCTCACACCCCACCCCCGACACACATACCTCTGGCCTGTACCCCAGTTCTGTATACATAAATAAATAAATATTTTTTAAAAAGTATCTATTTAAAAAAAAAAAAAGAAGAAGAAGAAGGTACTGTTGGGGAAGCATGAAGGCTATGAGAGCAGGAAAGGAGGAGGAGGACAAGTTTTGAAAAGAATCATAGGCAAAGCTGCCTGGGATTGGTAATGCTGATTGCAAAGCCTGGGGAATGGAAGACCAGAGGGGTGAAATGGAGATACTCACCGGGGCAGGGGGCCCAGGCCCCTCAGCATCTCCCCCATTGCTATCACTGGAGGAGCTGGGACTAAGAAGAGGACCTGGGGATGTCACTGGGCCAACTCCACAGAGCCCTGTGGTGCTGGGGCTGTGCACGGGCTGAGGCAAGGAGAAGCACAGGTTAGCGGACAATCCAGTTCCCCACCCCTTCCTCAGAAGACAAACTCCCTCCTCTCAAAGCCTCACCTGTAACAGCAGTCGATGGATCTGCTCAGAGAGCTCTTGAATATCTGGGTCCAGGGATAAAGCTGGGCTGGGGTTTGGGGGTGTGAACACATCCTCATTCAAGGGTGCCCTATGGGTAAGAAAAGGTCAGTTGAGTCCTGCCCTTCCCACAGGCCCCACCACCCCAGTGCCAGCTCTGGGACAAAGCCCACTTACGTGCGTACTTTATGGCGACCCAACACAAAGGCCACCTTGCGGCTCCATGGGTGAACGAAGCCAGCCCAACTGGTGTCCATGGTGACGTACTCCCCATTACGAGCACAGAATCGGATAGGGGAGTGATCAAAGGGCTGGCCAGCCAGCTGTAGGACTAATGAGAATGTGAAATGAAGTGGGGGTCAGCAGGAAGGAGAGGTAGCAGAGCAGCACCTCCCACTGGAGATCCAGGAGACCAAGGTACTGAAAGACTCAACCACAAGGGCAGTCACCCAGAAGCCCAGAGACAGTAAAGAAGGCGGAGCAAGACAAGACGAACTCACTTTTCTTGTGGATGGCTAGCATGAGGGGCCGATCTTCGGGATGTAGGAACAGGAGCACTGGGGCCCCCAGGAGGTCCTGGGGGAGATAGCCCAGCAGTGGGGCAGCCCTGAAATGGGTGGAGGCATCAGAGTGGCCAGGGCATCAGTCCTGGCCACCCCAGTGTCCTCCAAGTTCTATCTCACCTTTCATCCACATCCTGGAAGAGGCAGCTTGGTGTATGCCGGGTAGTGAAGATTCTCTTGTCTGGGGGGATTCGAGGAGCTGAAGCACAAAAAAATGTGGCCACTGGGTTTCATCCAGAATGAACCATCTCTTCAGTCCTCTATGCTGCCTGAGGCCCAGGCTGGCTACCAATCCTCCCCCAACTCTGCCCTGGGCCCCCTCTTCCACACAGAAGCCTTCTATCATTTTCCTACCTCTCAGCAATGGGAGTAAGAACCAAGGCATTTTCTTGGTTTTCTTCTAGCTCAGAGCTATTATCCAGCACTACCTCTAAAGAAGTCTGAGATTCATCTGATAACACTTTTTTCTGTTCAAAATTCTGAGAGGTTACATCAAGCCCCCCAGACTCGCCTTGCCTCAGTCCCAGCCTAGAGGGACCACATATCCTCCCCCCCATCAGTTCGGGCTTCAGGCCTACCTACCTTCATAACCCGAGTGGATGCGCTCTGCAATGAGCAGGCAGCATGGCTGCGCAGGAGCCCCATCTGAGACCCGGATCTTGGTAACATATGGGGTTAGTCGGAAAGGCTGGTACCGAGGTCCCGGATCCCGGTCAGGCCCTCCTCTAGCAAGGGAAAGAGAACAGCATTAGGAACTACCAATAAAGGATCGCCGAACCCTCCACCTCAAGGTCACACCCCACACAGAAAAGAAAAGTGGGGGGTGGGGAGGGTTGATGTGGAAGATGAGAAGGATTTGCCCCAGCTACCTGATACGGCAGAAAACAGACTTCTCTTGGGTAAAGTCTTTGTGGCTTGAACCTAGAACAAACCAGGAGGGTGGCTAAGTACACCCTTCCATTTCTTCCTACATCCAGCAAGGAAAAACTTAGGTTCCCTGGCCCCTTAAGGCATGAGTTTCCTGCTGCTCATTCCTCCCGCCCCAAGCATGTGAGGTCCTCACCTGCAGAGGCTCCAGTGCCCCATGTGGGCAGGCGGGATGGGGCAGTGGAACCATAGAAAATTCCCACATCCTGGGGAGCCAGGAGCTCTGAGAAGCGGACACCCCGGAACACATCCCGCTTGCAGCGCAGCAGGATACCTGCCTGCTCCGAAATGTAGACGATGCGGCCTGTCAGGAAGGAGACAGCCACGGAGAAGGTATCCTGGGCAGGAGGGTGAGTATAAGAGCAGATTTAGGAGCTGTGTGATTTGGGGTAGAATTATGTGAGGAGGAAGAAGGGGGGCTGTGGCTGACCTGGTTGCGAAGTGTGTACTCAGATGTGATATGCTCCAGCTCCTCCAGAGTATAGGTAGACATGTCCATGGCACAAGGCTCCCCCTCATCCAGGCTCCACTGTTGGTAGTATTCCTGGTTGGCTGAAGGGTGAGGACAGGCCATTCAGTGATGAGAATGCCCCACCACAGTAACCCAAGCCCTGAACACTGTCTTCCCAGGGAGTACCACTCACCTTGCACCTGCTTGACACAGGCCAGAGCATACTGTAGTGTGGCCAGGGTCCCAGAGCGGCCCTTGCCCCGGCGCTCTGGTGGCAGTCTAAGCTTCAGCTCCCTCAGTGCTGTCATGAGCTCCTTCTGAGTCCTTGCCCGGGCTGACTGTTCACTGCTGCAGAGCCCACAGGGAAGTAGGGGTATAGGCATTAGCCTCAGAATATAGCCCAGGTACCAAAGCCCTTTCACCCAGCCCTCACATGACAAACCTGCAGCCACTGGTAGATGGGTTGTCCTGCTCTGAGCTGGCACTCAGGAGGCTGTAGGCAATGGAACTGCTGGGTGGGGATGGGCTCTGAGAGTTTGTGCTAGAGGAGAAGCAATACCCCAAGATGAGGGAAAGTGGCCTGCAGCACAGGGCCTGTCTCCTAGCTCAGCTGACTCTTACTCCCAGATTCTGCAACATACACACCTCTTACTACTCTCAGTAGTCTCCAGCAGTGCTGAGTCCTTGCCATTGCCAGAGGAGGAGCTATGTGAGCTCCGCTGAGATGCACCCCTAGACTCTGGCCCGTTGGACTCATTGCCACTTGAGCCATTGCTGTTGGCATCCGTGTCATCAGCCAAGCTGGGACCTGGACAAGGCCTGTGCTGGGGAGGCCCAGGGGATGGGGTTCCTCCAGGACAAAAGGATTCCCCTGTCCTGAGGTCTCCTCCCCCATTGCCCCCTTCTAGGGAGCCACTCATATCTGGGCCATGGGAAGGGCAGGAGAACAAGGAAGGCGGAGGCAACCACAGATGCACAAGGGGGCCAGGAGCCGGGCTGAGAAAGTGAGTTGGGAGTCCCGCGCCTCTGAGGATTGAGAAGTCCGATCACAGCGGGTACCTGGAAGGAGTGACCAAGGAGGAGGACATGGAGAAAGGTGGACTGTTAATTTCACAGCATATTCTCCCTTCACTCAAACCCTCCCGGGCCAGTCCCCACACTCCTGGGACACCAGCTTCCAACAGGAAGCTTCGCTAAGTTCTGTTGGAGAGGCTGTCTCTCTTGAGCCTCACCCGAAATCCCCGCCGGCATGGCCTGGGTAAGCAGAGCCTGAGCAGTGAATTAGAACGACAACCTTGGGCTCAAAACTGGGCACATTTCATCCTTCAATTCCCTTCAAGTCTCCACTCTACCTGGGACTCCAAGGCCTCAGAGCAGGAGGTGAGCTTGCCACCTCCTATATTTAGGCCTGCAGGCTAATTTTACCCGGGGGCGGAGCCACCCCCGCTGCACATGCGCATAGACTCACACAGCCCCAGCAGCCCCACCACGCGCTTCCGCCGCCGCTGCGGTCGCCGGGGAAACCGACGTCAGCAGCTGAGCTCAGCGGTTGCTGGAGGGACCATAGGAGGGCGGGAGAACCGACCCCTCCCCCATTTCCCGGCGGAAGCGGGAACGACCCACTCCCACACCAGCGGGTACGGCCAGTAGTCACCCACCTCCCAGGACGACCCGGTGGCCAACCAGGAGGGGTGGCCTCAGAGTTCCAGGGTACATTCTTGATACCCAGGGCAACAAGCAAACGCCACCGCCCTCCGAGCATAAGCCCCCCCAGCCTGGCTTCAAACTGGATCCCGGTCGTTCCTGTCATTGACACAGCCTTTTCTTCTCTGGTCTCTACACCCTCTCCCAAGCATCGTAAACGAAGCCGGCACCTGCCATTGTCAGCGACCTAGGGATTCTCTCCTCGGTTCTCTAGTTTTCTAGTCACCCCCACCTCACCCCCTTCAAGATAGACAGCCTCGGCTCAGAGCAGGGAATGATACAACAGCCAGCGACAGTCTTTCCCTCACTCCCGACCAACCACACCCCCAGCCCCGGAGCATTTTTTGAGCGCCAGAAGAAAAGGGAAGGCTGTGGCCAACAGCAGGAACTAACGCCGGGAACGGGATGTTCCAGCCCCAAAAGGGCTGACATCACGACCGGCGCGGGGCCAGGGACTGGAGGGGGGGGGGTCGTGGAGAGCTCGGAAAGCCTGAAGGGGTCTTGGTGCCGTAGAAAAAACCTGGGGTCCCGAGTGACAAGAAAGGTGGCAAGGGGGCATGCCTGCTGAGGATCGGGTATGGAGCCGAAATAGCTGAAGCCGGAAGCAAAGCTGGAGGTAAGGTAAGCGGGTCAGGAGTTCGGACACGGGTGCAGGGTTGCGTGAAACACCTACGTCCCCGGGAGCAGGAAGGGGGTGGACCGCGGCAAGAAAGGCGAATTATTGGTATGTCATCTGAGCGCCTGGACCGAAAGCATCCCATCAGGCTGCAAGTGGTGGCGTTCCGGCTCAGAGACGGAGACCGCCCCAAGGTGGCGGCGGAGATGCCTACCTGGCCGCGCGAGCGCCCTCCGGCCGCTTGCCCACCTCCGTTGCAGCCGCAGCCGAGTGGAAGCTCCGCTGGGCCAGGAGGCGGGTTGCATAATGCCAGACACTGTCCCTCATTGGCTTACTGCCGACGGAGCTGCAGGCCCCGCCCCGGATTGGCTGGGGATCTCGTCCTGGCGCCTGATTGGCTCCTGGCCTCCACTGAGGTCAGGGCTGTGTCACACACACGGGCGCACGTGGATCTGGGTGCTGGCGCTGGACTGAAGGGCCCCAGACGCCACCGCCCAGCCAATGGGTGCAGGACGCCTTGAATAGTGAATAGTGGAGAGGAGGCAAGCTGCCCCTTGAGGGAAAATGCCTGGGCCACCACAGTTGCTTGAGTTGTCTGCTTCCTGAACTGACCGGTCTTGAAGAAAGGACACCTTGGCCTTGTCAGAGGTGGGGGAAAGACTTGGGAGGTGGACCAAATTTGATGAAATAGTTGGTACTTGGAAGGAGGGGGGTGGAGAGAAACACAGTGTGGCCTTTCCTGGTTTTCCTCCCCAGCCTTGTTTTAATAAAGCTGTTTTACCCCTTCCCTTTCTATGACACTTCAAATCTTGTGTACAGAGAGGAGAAAAGCAATTGAGAATCCTGTGTGATGGAAGTGGAGAGGTGGGGGGAAGGTTGTAAACAATGGAAAAGGCAGCCAGAGCCAATAGGAACTGTGAAGGTAAACAATGGCAGGTGCTTCTGTTGCTAATCAGAGGAAGCCTATGTGGGGACTAGTGCCTCTCTCCGGAGAATGCAGCCATCCACATTTTTGGTTGCTCCAACAGTGAAGGCCAGGAAGCCAGGGCTTCAAGGAAACAAAGGTGATGGCTAAGAGATGAGGCTATTGTGCCCTTCACAGAGAAAATATACCTACTGTAACAGGGTGGTCCCAGGAAAAGGGGAAGTTCCAGGTTCCCTGCCCCACCCAGAAGGAGGGTGGAGCTGAGCAGAGAAAAGAAGAGAAGGAATCTGAAGAGGAAGCAAGCAGGATGGAGAGCCAGAAGGAGATCTGAGGAAGCCACATGGGACGGGAGCATGTGAAGAAACAGTGCTTATTTCTTGGCCTTGGACTGGTTGAAAGAGATGTGAGTGAGAGATCTATGGGGAAGTTGACTATGGCAGTGTTTATATTAACTTTGATTGTGCTCTTTTCCTCCCAGACTTGTCTGGCCATGTGTGGCCCTTTTCAATGGGTCCTGGCCAGAAGATGCTTTAGTCTTGTGGTGGGCGTTTAGGCCTTGCTTTGGACCAATCCCTTTTGGGTGGACTTTGGCCCACGAGGGGATGGGTAACTTCAGGTGTTTGATTTAGAAATTATATTCTTTGTCTTCTGTATTGTATACTCACTGTATTAAAGTCCCTTTTCACTAAAGTCTTACATGTTTTGTCTTGATGTGGCAGATGGCAGAACCCATTTAGAACAGGCAGGTTTGGGGGGTTTAGGGGTACCCTCTCTCCATGCCCTGTAACACTGCCATTAGAAAAGTGAAAGCCAAGGACCCTATATTGTTCACTGTACTCTCCAAACCCCAGAAAAGATCTCACTTATGGTGAATGATCAATATACATGGTTATTTTGTTATTAGTAGGGATTAATAGGAGATGGATGGAGTAATGGTGAACAGGCTAGAAATTACAATTTTTTAAAGGGGGGAGCAGAACACTAGGTCCTAAAAAAATAACAGGGACCTAATTTCAGGGAACTACGTATCAGGCTGGGCCCAGGAGATCTGCAGTTACACTGACATCTGCCCACCACACACACACACACACACACACACACACAGAGCATTGTGATGAGTAGTTCCTCTTAGAGCTCCCTAGAAACGTGGGTGTCAAGTGAAGAGGTCCTCAAGCTGATGCTGACATAATCAGCTGTGAATGCACACCCCTCACTGTCACATGGCCTAAGCTTTCCTTAACAATGGTGTTCCCCATGTGGAAGTGAAGGGGGGGGGGTTCTATGGAAAAGCTGGGGCAGGGGAGGTTATAAAACAACCCAAGAAAGCAAAAAAAGAAAACAGCAAAGAAAGAATTCAGGAACCTGGATTCTCAGTCTCCTTTCCTTGAAAATGGCCTCCCCAACTTCGTGGTCTTCCCCTCATCCCCCTCCTCCTCCCTCCTCAGCCAGTCCCACACCCCTTCTCTGGAAACAATATTTTTTTTTCTCCAGCTCTTCTGAGTGATTTGGATGTCCATACTCTCCCACCTCCACCTTTACATCTACAGACAAAAGGTCTCAGTACTCCAACAACCCACACCTGCTCCCTGGGCCTTGGTTGCCCGGCCTCACGGTCCCCACAGTAACTAGGCCTTGCTGCCGTCAATGAAAAAGTGGGGGCGGGAGTCGGCCGTGACGTCAAAGTAGAGCACGGAGGCGGAGCAAGGCAGCCGGGGAATGTGGGGCAGGGAGGCTGGAGAGGCAGCGGTTTGGGAGGCAGCCAGGCCGAGAGGGCGGCGGCCAGCGCACTTGGGAACATCATGTTCTTTTGGCTGGTGGCCCAGTATAAGCACCCAGACCAGGCTCCTCCCCCAATCCAACAACTGCCGTCCTGTCCCCGAGTCAGGGATTCCTGGAGAGACGGTTGGGGGGAAGGAGGTCCTCCTCCTCCAACCCCCAGCCTGGATCTCTTCTGGATATTTTTCATCCGCCTTCCCTTCAAGTTTGCTCCCGCAGCATCAGGCACTGGCTTTCCCCCTCTCCCAAATTACACATTTGCTGGCCTGGTACCAAAGAGCCAGGACGGGGAAGTTGGAGTCTCAGGCTTTATGGGAGAATTCACACCTTTACTCTCCCCCAGAGGTTCCCTTCGGAACCGAATCTCTTGTTACTATGGCAGCAGTGAGAGGGAGGAGGGGCAGGGAGGAAAACGGGTGTAGGATAAGGAAGTTGAACTGGGGCAGAGCCATGGGCCATGCCGGGGCCTGAATCCTGGGAAAGGGATAAAAGGGAGGAATGAGGGGTTTGTCTGGTGCTGAAGACCAGAAGGATCAGGAAAAGGGACATAGGGAGGGGACTCGCTAAAACTTGGGAGAAAAACTTGAGAATGTGGAACTTAAGGATAGTTCCTAACCACAACACTGACATAAACCTCTGACTTTGTCACTGATTTTGGTCACTCAATAGCCATTTTTAGCTTAAAAAAAATTACAGCATGACCCAAGCATTGTGCTAAGTATGTTACATATATCATCTTATTTAATTCCAGGACAACCCTGTGAGGTGGGAATTATTATTCCACAAGGAGGCACTAAGATTCAGAGTTACTAAACTGGCCTCAATTGCCTCAAACTATGCATGTTCTTAGGCTCTTGACAAATGGAGCCCAGAATTCAAATCTGAGCTCTGACAATGGCCTGTCTTCCGGCTTTTACCCTTACCCAGGAATCTGTGAGTTGTTACCCAGGACTGAGGATCCTGGGTCTGTCATTTATTGGAGCTATTGTATCTGGAACAGACTCTATCCCAGCCCTCCTCTCTCACCCTTGGGGCCCGTGTGGAGCCCTTCAGTTTACACTCCCCACACACTTTGAATATTGCAGCCTCAGTTTTTACAAAGTTCTTGAAATCATCATAGCAACCACCAGCCCCAGTGATTTCCTAATAATCCCACTTTCTCACCGTTCTCGCCTCAGGTCACTTTACCAGACCTGGTTGGTTGCAGATACCAGAGCACCCAACTGTTGCCTCCCTCACCTCCAGGGGATCCGAAGGCACGTGCACAGTCAATCTGCACAACTAGCACCTCCCTCTCAGGATTTAACAGTTGCAACCCCAAGTGTACTCCTAAGGATGGTTCCAAGCACCCCCCTACACACACACACACACACACACACACACAATTTTACACAAGAGAAAAACATCCGGAGTTGCTATGTGACTGGATCAGGGTCACACAAATCATCACATCCTCTGTTCTCTAATCATGTCAACCCTTTGATACATTCCCACATGCCCTAGTAGGGCCTCCTTCCAGTCTCAGAATACCTGCCTGTTAAGTGCTTAAGACACCTGTTCAAACAGCAGACACACACTGGAACGTCTCCCACAAGTTCTCAGAGCTTCCACCCCTCTACCTGGGTCTCAGCTGCCTCAGATAGTTCTGGGCTTGGGAAAGCTCTTTCCCCCAAGCCAACCAGGTCTGCAGTTACCCTGGGGAGACAAGGGATCTGATGTGACTCTCGCCCCTCATACCTCTAGATCTTAGCTTAGTCTCTTTCCCAGGACACCAAAACTTCCGCCGCGGCGATCACGCATTCGCTAGGCCCCCCTCAACACCACCGCTTACTGACACTCTTCCTAACAGGACACACCATCCCACAAAAACCTAGACCGCCGCTTATCTGCCCCAACCTGGGAGCACTCACCACCCAAAACGCCCGCAGAGTCCAAAGTCTTGCTACTAGGACCTCAGGAACTCGGACTCGCTCCTTGAGGCCCTCCCACCGCTGGGGTCGCCACGCCCCGCGAGCTTATTGGCCTAAGGGCTCCGACCCATGCCCCGCGCCGCGTGCTGCCGCCGGGCTTCAGCACCGCCACCATTGGCGCTGCAGACCGCCATCATCTTCTCATTGGTGCGCAGAACAACCGGCAGTGACAGATCCACGTGCGGTGGGGGGGGCGCGCCATGGAGCGTTGATAGGCAAGCTGACACAAAGCCACGCCTCCCATCCACTTCCTAAGTTCTTATTGGCTGTCGGAGCAGCCGCCGACCTGCCTACATCCGTGAAACAAATGCCGGTCCAGCCCTCTAAACTTTCTCATAGGCTGAGGTCTCGGAGCTGTCGGGGACACGTGCCGGCGGTCTCACGCGGCAGCTTGTTTACCTAGAAGCTGGGGATTTTCCTTGACGACACTGTTACCCAAGACTGCGCAGTCTGCGCAGGCGCAGTGATTGTGAACTGGACGCAGGCGCAAACTCGGACAGTGGTGGCGTTAGGGGTAGCGCGTTATACCCAGTCGGGAAAGAATGGCAGGGGGTGACAAGGCACCCTCCGACCTGGAAGGAACTCCGGTGCTGGGTCCCTGACGCTGGAATGTGTGACAGTTGGGTGAAGATAATAACGAGGAAGGTAACTGCCACCTCCTGTTTTCTGACAAACAAGGAGGCTACCTTACCACCCACCGCCCCACAAATGATTAGATCGAGTTACATAATCTTCCCAAATTAACACATTAGTAAGGGGGTCAAGATTTGACCCCAGGTTCCTGAAGCTGTAAAGGATTCATTCATTACTTTAGTGCAAATAAGTCCAAGTACTGTCTGGAATATAGTAAACCCCTTGATAAATGGTGGGTATTAATGACTGTGTAACTTAAACATATTTTCTAGGTCCCAAAAGCTCCTGAACCAGAACCTCCTGGGAAAGGATCTTGACACCTATTTAAAAACAAAACACCACCACCACCTTAGGCCCTGATGCTATAGGCAGCCACTGCTGTATGAGTTCCATTCCCTGCCAGGGAGCTCACCCACATGACACAGCATACCTCTCCTGTCTCAACTGTGGCTCCTCTTAGTAGTGTATTTCAGTAAAATCTCCCTGTTCTGATCCCCACTGTCTCTGGTGAATCCTCTCACTGGCCTAAGCTGGCCTGCATAAATCAATAAATATAAATCTTAAAAAATAAAACAGGGAATAAAAAACCTTGGTAGGTCATAGGAGCCAGTAAGTTTAGGAAACACTATCAGGTTTCCTATACTCCTAAATCTACATACTGCATCCAGAGAGATCAACTCTTCAGAGCTTACCCTGCACTCTCCACTCAACTGTTGAAGGGCCTGGCGACCAGAAAGCTAGGGTACATGTAGGAGTGTCATGGGACCTGGAGGTTAAGTATAGTATAGGGTCTAGAGTCACCAGTTAAGACATCAGAGTATAGAATGCCTGGGTACCTGGCCATCTTTAGTCAGTTCCACACTACTCAGCTGTTATGTCCTTAGAGCTGATTTCTTCCGGTGGCATTTATCAAACTTTTCTGGACATTGGTGTGTTAGCCAACTGGGAAGAGATGCTTCACAGAAATTGGTCATCTACTTCAGGAAGGGATTAAATGACTATGGGCACGGCTGCAGAGCACCTAGAGACTAAGTCAAGGGGTGGAAAGGAATACAACAAAAGCATGGCCCCAAACAAACTAGAGGAAAAGCTGGGTTAACTCCAGACATTAAGATTCATCTGGCTGAGGGAAACACAGGGATTTCCAACACTTCCCATTATAATCTACTGCCCCACTGTGGCCACTTTGGGAATCACACTTTGCCATGCCCAAGGTCAGGTCCTCAAGCAAAGTGCAGGTCCTAATCAATGTATCTTCTCAACCTTCCAGTTACATTTGTAAATTCCATACCCTTCCCACTGTTCAAAAAAAGACACCACTTTTATTACTCATTACACATTTATTGTACATTTTCACAATCTGGATGCGCCACAGAATTGGGGGCATGGGGTGAGGGAAGGGGGGCAGGGGACACTGGGATAAAATGGGGGGTCTAGAACACAGCACCCCCACCCCCAGCATCTCTCCCTACCCGTTCACACTACATCTTAGATCTCCCTGCTCCCCCTCCACACAGAAACCTTGAGTGTGGGGGGAAGAAATTTGGGGGATCCCCTCCAGTGGCAGGTTAAGGGACTGCACCCTCAGACCCCTAAAATTGTGCCATCGAAAAAGACATACCCTTCCTCTATCACTTCACCTAAGGAGACAGCTTAGCTGCCCTGGAGAGGGTCAAGAATCCCCACCTTCCAGCAAGTCCCATACACACATTGGCAGTGACTAGTACCCCCACCCTGAATTCAGGGGGGTAGTCAGAGGAGCTGGGCAGTGATGGGGGCAACACCCCCCAAATTGGGGAGGAGGATTTTTCAGTTCAATTCCCAGCAGGGGTGGGGCCAGAGGAGATTTCAGGCAGGAATTGGGGGGATTCTCTGCCCTGCCCCATTCCTCCCCAAGGCAGTGATGACCCCCCACACACTGGTAGCCACCTCTCCCAAGAGATCAGATTGTGGCCAACCCCCAACTCTCCTAGTGGGAGGAGGAGGAGGCAGATCAGGCAGATGGGAGGGAGGGAGACCCCATGGGAATGTCAGTTGAATGCCCCACATGAAAAATGGGGAGCTGGAATGTGGGGAGAGACTCCAAGTGGCAGAATTATTGGTCCATCATAACACACTGAACTCCAAGACACTTACACACCAGCTGGGGTGGGGGGGGTGGGAGAGGAGAGGACAAGAGGTTTGGAAAATGGGGGTAGGGGAGGCAAACTGGACTAAAGAGGGTAAGATGGGGAGATTCTGGGGGCCAGAACAACCTGACTCCCCAAAAGCCCAGGCTCCCCACCATCTGCAAGTAATGTCATGCAAATGAAAGTATGATACAAGGACCAATGGATAGTAACTCTTAAGAAAACAAGAAACATGAGTCCAAAAATGAAGAGTGATAGAATAAAAAAGAAAGAAACCAAGAGATGTCAAAATGCAAATGAATGCTAATTAACATGCTGGAAGCTCCCAGAAGAACTTGGGATTCTTAGGACCAAGTGGGTTGAGTCTCAGTGCCTCCCAGTGATGCAGAGATGCACCTAGGGAAGCCTGGACAGTTGCTTTTTGTTTTTTGTAGGGGGGTGGGATGGAGGCATGGGGAAGAACAGGGTGAGAGGAAGGATCAGTTATATCCAAGGAAGGAGAGGAAGAGGGACTATTGCATAGCAGATGCAAAAGAAGGAACTTGGGACTGGTCAGGGAAAGAGGGAAAGGGGAGGAGGAAAAGAGAAAGGAAGTGATGGGAACCTCAGGAAGGGGTGTTAAGGACAACCGGAAAAATCTTCTAGTAATAAAACTACAAACAGACCAAATATATATAATATTATATATGTATAAATAACAGCTGGCTATTTACAGGGGGGTGCACACACACAGGGACACACACACACGGATCCACGGGAGGGGGGCTGGAAGATATGGCTGAGAGGTGGAGGAGCGGCTGGGGATGGGGAGAGGCCCTTCTCTGGGCAGGGCAGGCTCCTCAGGGATTTAAGAGCTGAAGTAAACTGTAGAGAGGTAAAGAAAAGGAAGAGGGAGAGGGGAGAAAGAGAGAAAGAGAGCAGTGTATCAGGCCTGGCCCTTCTCCCATCCTCCCCACTCCCCAGCAGGCTTCATCCCTTTCCCTCTCAGCCTCAGGTTGTCCCATCTATAAAGTAAGGGGCATGGACAAGTGAGTTCCCATTCTTTCCAACTTCATGGTATTGAAGTGGGGAGACAGACTCCTAATCCTCTGGCCCTCTGAGACACAAGCTCTCGAACAATAGGTTGGCTAGTTTTCTCAAGGTTGTGGGCCTTTCCTGCTTTCCCACTCCCCAATTCCATGGTTCCCAAACTGGGGTCTCAAGTTCTAAGGGTGCTCAAGAGAGCAGTGGGGATTCACTATTTTTCCTGTTTCCAAATCTTAACAGGTATGCCCAGAACCAGGCAAAGTGCAAGTTAAACAACATCCAAGGTTTGGGCTCTAAATGCATCAGATCTGCCATGGGCAGTTATTTGCTTTTTGTTGAATAGTAAAAACTAAGTTAATGACCTTCAAAATCTAGAATTAGCAGGGGAAACCTCTCCAGAAAAACGGCACTTGCCACTCCTTCCCTACTCACCGATGATGATGATGAGGATGATGGCGCAAATCACTCCCAAGATGATCATCATCTAGAGGAGAGAAGGGAGGGTCAATGAGACTGGCCAGGAAACGCATTCACCCACCAGCCTGCCTACCTGCCTTCTCACTTGTCTCCACCCTTACCTTGAGGTTTTTCCACCAGTATTTGCGCTTGAGCTTGGCTGCACTTGTTTCAAACTGGGAGGCCCCCGCCTGGAGTGCATCCGCACGGTCATCCAGCTCCGACAGCTTCTGGTCCCGTTCCAGGACCTTGTCCACGTTCACCCTCATGATATCCACCACCTGAGGGAAAGGCCCACAAGTGCCCCCTCAACAAGGGCACTCTCCAACATGGGCTCACATAGGGAACATGCACCCTGATGTTGCCACCTTAACATACCAAGGACACACACAGAACATGCCTAGCACACCAGGGGACACACAAGGAGCACACATCTAGAGTATGCTGGCAGTCACACATGTCAGGAGTCATAGCAGCACCCTCTTTTTATTTGAGCTTTGAGCAATCTGTCCTCACCAGAGAACACCTGTCCAGGGTGAAAGACCCCAGGCTAGCCAAGCTAACTAACACTAGAGGGCCCTTCCAAATGCCTAGTGACAGGGAAGGGGCATGGTGTTATGGTGTGTCTCTGACCCAGAACTTATTAACATGACTGCCATCATTGCCAACCCAAGAAAGACTGCCCCCCCAACCCCGACCAGTTTGCCAAACCTCAGGTTCCTATCCACTGTCTTTGATACTTTGATAACCCCCTCACACACAGACACGCACACACACTCACCTCATCCACTTGGGCCTGGGTCTGCTGCAGCCTCCTGTTACTGGTGAGGTTCGGAGGGGGTGCAGGGGGGCCTCCCTCCCCAGCCGGAGCGGCAGGGGGGGCGGTGGCAGCGGTAGCCGACCTGAGGGGAAGGGACGGATTAAGATCTAAGGCAGAAGCCTCGGGTCCAGCAGCCTGGGCTCCGCCCATCCGCCTGTCCATCCATCCGTCCCTCCCTCCCTTCCCCGGAGGAAGGCCACCCGATGGAAAGCCTGGATTCCGTCCGGCCTCACCATCCAAAAGCTGCGTGACCTTGAGTGCGGTCCCCCTCCCCCTTCCGGGCCTCAGTTTCCCCTACTGTCAAATGAAGGCGACCTCGCAGATACAGTCCAGGGTCCACCCAAAATGACTAGCGGCAGTAATGACAGGGGCGGGGCGGGCACACGTCGGGTCTGCTCTCTCCCGGTCACCGCCCGCGCGTCCAGCGCGGGAAGCGGAGCTCTCCGGCTGCCGGCGCGAAGTCACGGGCGCCGGCCTGGCCTCCCCGCGCGGGGAACGCTGGAGGGCGCGGACCAAACCCCGCGCACCCCCGGCACCCATTCCCACAAGCGACGGCCAGCGCAGGGAAGTGCGGTGCGAGCTCAGGCGACTCACATGGCGGGGGAAGCGGGCGGAGGACTTGGCAGCGACAGTGATGGCAGCGGCAGCGGCGGCGGCTCGCGCTGGCTCCGACTGGCGCTGGCTGCCCGGGACGGGAAGATGGCGGCCGCACGTCACCCACATCCGGGCACTGCGGGAGGGGGCGGGGCTCCGCGGGCGACTCGTCGGGAGCAGAGCCGCGGGGGCGGGGCGAGACCGGGCTGGGGGCGCGCCCGGCGGTGCTGCGGGGTTGTTAACGAGGTGCCCCCGCACTTCCCACAGCGCTCGTGAATCCGCAGCCTGAGCGCTGCGGCTTCACCACACCCGCCGCCTTCCGTCCCTGACCGCATTGCTCACAGCCGCCCCCATGCCTCTACCACCCGCCCCTTATCCCAAGACACCCCCCCACAAACCTGTAAACCCGTGCGCACTCTGCTCGAGGACTCACCCAGCGCACCCGCCCGCAATTGGGATGAGGGTGGGAAATCAGAAGGGGTCGTATGGATGGTTGGAACTTTGCTGCTGAGGTGGAGTGACAGGATTTGGGCCCCAACCCACCACTTCCCAGATGGAGGTCTCAGAGAAGCTCTGAGGGCCCGCGCCATCTGGGTAGGAGTAGGAGGGTACAAAAAAAAAAAAAAAAGAGAAGAGGCAGGATATCCCCTCCCGCCAATTCAATGAAAGCTGCTTCTCTCACAAACTGGAGTTGGGTTCAGGGGTGCTTGTCAAGCCAGGCCTGAATGAGGAAGGACAAGCTGGGACCTCCGGGGAGGGGGGCAGAAAGCTACCCAGGCAGCTGTACTTGGCAGCTCAGAGGGCTCACAGGTGCAGGGCCTGGGCTGAAAGGACTATGTATTTTTTAGGACAGTAGGCAAAGTCAGCATGTACTGTACCCAGGTTACATGTTACTACTTTACATGAGGATTAACCCATTAGATGTGACCTTGGACAGTTCCTGTCCTTACTTTGGACCCCAAATATATATGTAGGTACTGAGTATATAATTAAGTGGCTTGCTCTGGAACACAGTAGGAAATGGGCCCTTCTGTCCCTTTTGGTCTCTAAACAGACTCAACACATTCACTTGTTCATTCCTAGCAGGTCAGGCACCTCCTGGAAAAGATAGGGCCAGGTGAGCTGTCCATTACGTGGAGAGAGCCCAAGAAGGCCCCAAGAGTCAAGACAGGTGCTTCAGGGGAGGCTAACAGCCTTCGGGTGGGGGAGTGCTACTGCCTCCCTTGCAGGAGGGAGGGCCTGATGGTGGCATTGGTTTCTGACACAAACAGGACCCAGCTTCTACCCTCCCCCACCTAGGCTTCCCAAAGCCTCTGGGTGTGAGAACCTCCCCCATGCAGTGCCCCATCCCCTGTCACCAGAGGTGTTGTTTCCCAGCTGTCTGGGGGAGGTGAGAGAGCAGGGGAGCTGTGTTGGGTGTGGGGACTCAGCACATCTAAGATAAGATGCTCTCAGTTCTCTTCCCTGAGCAGTAGTCACTTCCCTGGTCTTTGTGCACTGACACAGAATGTCTCTCGACTCAGCCTGTGTGAAAAGGACGAAACAAGTGGCTTCCATGAGAATCTTAGATCCAGCTGTGGGGTGCTAGCCCTTTAGGCCCCGAGACAACTTTCCAGCCAGAGAACAAAGATGCCAATTCCAAACTTTAAGTTCAAAAGCCTCAGTGTCTGAGTAGGTTGAAGGTTGGAAGGAGGTACAAATGGCACCTTCCTCTGACTACCCCCCTCCACACACACACACACACACACACACACACACACACACACACACACACACACACTAGCAGGGGAGAAGCTAGTGGAGGGGCCAGGGAGGATGTTATATGCTAGTTAGATGTGATCTGCATTTTCCCTCATGACAGAACCCAGAATAAATTTGGGAACCCAGGGTCAAAAGAAAAGCTGGCACACTGCTATTCTGAGTGGATCCTGGGGGCAGCATGAGCAGAGTAGAAATGAGGGCACATACGATCCATGGAGGTGGGGTGTGAGGTTTATCTTGTTGAGAGAGGACTCTCACTGAGCAGCCCCTTCCTACTCACTCCACCTGTGCTGTGGTGTGGAAGAACTCCCCAAATTTAGATAAATGATGGATGCAAGAGAAGGGGTGGGGTGAGTATCCTGGAAATGAGTAAGAAAATGTTTTCTCCTAGTAGGTAGAATAGAGAATCAAAAGGAGGTAACTGAACTAAAGACAGAGTTGTAAGTTGGCATAACTGAGACTAGGCCTCTATGTTTATCCGCTTCAGGGTTGCCAGCTGATGGGCCCCACTTTCAAGGCTCATTCAAAGGATATGGGAGGGGGCCCAAGTTCATGTCTAGTAAGCCTCTCCAGTGATTCTGATAGAGGCAATATGGAGAAGACCTTCATGAAAGGTTTTCATTTATCGTTTGTACAACTGACTTAGAACTTGAGGTGGAAGGGAGCTAGGTCACTCACTCATGAACTTGCTGCATCCACATGAGTCAAACCCAACTGAACTAGTAATTAATTTCAGAGACTTTTGTGTCCCTCAACGCAGCTTGTAAAGAAAAGACCTTCTAATTAGGAAGAGAAGTGTGCCCTTGGGAATGCTGCCTGGAGTTGGGAGTGTAGGGACCAGCCCTACCATGATGCAGTCAGCTGCCCAAACCCTGTGACCTCTGACTGCAGAGTCCAGAAGTCTCTGGGGGCTGGCTGCCAAGCCCTGGCTTTCTGGAGGGAACAAAAACTACCAGGGACCTTCTGTGTGCCAGGGGCTTTAGATGGACTCCACACGTATTTAGTTTTTTAATTACACACACAATGTGACTGCATCTTCTTCTCAAAAATATTAAAATGTTAGCTATAAAGGGTTCCCTTGGCCACCCCCCAACTATTTGTCTTTTTTTTCACTTTCTAGAAGTTTCCATGCCTCTTCCCTTTGGGGGGAGGTGGAATTTCCTCCCCATTTCCAAAATGCAATATATTTTCTCATCTCCCTGAGGATACCAATTCTATTTTTCAATTTCAATATTAGATTTTAATCTAGATAATAGGTAATACAGTAAAAACCCAAAAGGTAAAAAAGAATATACAGTGAACCCTGCTTCTGCACTGCTCAGGATCCCTACCAAACACAGCCATTGTCTCCATTCTTAAAATTTCTTTAGAATGGTGTGTCTAGAGACAAACATAAATACTTTTTTTAAAAAATACAAATGCTGACAGTCTGTATAGAGTTCGATTTTTTTTTTTTACTTTCCAATTATAGTGACTTTTTTTTCTTATGCTCTCTAACATCTTCATCTCTCCCATATTTTTTGTTCGTTTGTTTCTAATATGTGGAAGGAGTCTCTCTCTTTCATTTGGGAGGCTTTTCCTCAAATATCTACCAGTTCTTAGCTCTCTGTTCATATTTATTTGGAGCCAGCCACCAAGAGGCTGATTGGAAGCTGGAGTGTGGGGTAATACTCATTGACAGTAGAAACCTTTACAGAGACCTCCAAATATTGATAGGTGGGAGACTTTCTTTGGGGAGGGAGCATTGCTTCCTTTGAAAGAATATCCATTCTCTAACCCCTACCTTGATGCAAGGGAGGGTGTGTACATAGCACAATCAGGGCTCCTGTTTGCAGCCTCAGGCCCCCCCTCTGCTGGGTTTGTGTCCCCTAATCCAAAACAAGCATGTAAGGAATGGTGGTGTGTGAGATTCAGGTGTCAGGGGTCTTGACCCTTTGTCACAGACTCACAGCCATCCCTGTGTTCAGCCAGGCCCTGCTCTGGGACCTGTGGGCCTCGTGGATCTTCCAGGATGGTGCTGATTCCCCCTGCCCTGCTTGTTCTCACTCTTGGCCTATGTCTAGCCTCCAAATCCTTCTTGCAATATTTTGTTTACTGCTGTCTTCTCCCCTTGATCTCTTAACCCTTGTAGATTTATGTCTCTTTCACTCCCCTCCTGTTATCTGCTAGGTTTTGAAAGGGAGCAAATGCTCATGGCTGAGCTTCCATGTTTAGCTAAAAGTCTTATTACAGTTTAGTTCTTCAAGAGCAGTGTTTAGGTTATTTGCTTTTTGTTGTTGTTTTTGTAGTTATTACAACAGTGCTTTCAGGAATGTTGTTGTAATTATCTCCCATGATCAAAGTATTGATTGTCTTGGCTTTATATTTGGGGAAACTTAGCTTTTGAGAAATGTCTTGATGGGGTCTTGTTTGTTTGTTTTAAAGATTTATTTTTATGCATACAAGAACTGGGGTACAGGCCAGAGGTGTGGTGTGTGTGTGTGTGTGTGTGTGTGTGTGTGTGTGTGAGAGAGGATTCACCGGAGACAGAGGGGGGAGCTAGGCAGAGCTACTGAAATACACTGATGACAGGAGCAGCAGGTGAGACAGGAGAGGTCTGCTCTGTCATGTGGGTCACCTCCTTGGTTGGGGGTCGAACTCATGCTGCAGTGGCTGCTGACAGCTTCATAGTACTGTGCTTTAACCTGTTGTGCCACCAAGGAGGGCCCTGAGGGGGTCTTTTTACTGACTAATTTTTTTTTCACACATTTATATCTTTTGATTTTTTGCTGTATGTAAACATAATATACACATATAAAGTGATTTCTTTTTAATCTGTGTAGTTCTCCCTGCACAATTACCAAGCATAGTGCCAGAAACAAGACAGGCAAATGAATAATAAATGATGGTGAACTACTGGCTCAGTGGGGAGTGTTTTTAAAGGAGAACCCAGCATAGCAGGCAAACGGATTGTTAGTGGTGGACTCCTAGACACCTACTTGGAGAGGATGGGTTAGGGCTGAACTGGTGTGCCCAGTGTTCCTTTGAGGACAGCCCTGGTTACTTGCTACTTGTCTGGTCAGGTATCACTGCAGCAGGGCTGCGTGGGTGTGGGCAGTGGGGGAGCAGCATGCCTGAGCTCTGTGTGGGTAGGATAAGATGTAGGTATGTGAGAATGCTCTGGGGCTGGGAGCCTGGGAAACTGGTGGTTCAAACCCTCACCCTCCCACCTTCCATTCATTAGAGATGAATGGCTAGTTCCTGCATAAAAATCCTAGTTCAGGGTCTCCCTGGTGGTGCAGGGGTTAAAGACACAGGGTTGATAAACTCATTTTGGGAGAAAAAACAGATAGTGTGGTTGGCAAGAAGCTACA